CTCTCATCAGTGCCAGATTTTTTTTTTAGTTCAGCTATTTATTTTTTAAAAGCTAAATAATAAAAATATAGTCACTCACACTACATTTCTAAAAAAGTAACTAAAATAATATGACTTCATCTTTTTTTAAAGGTGCAGTATGTCAGTTTGACACCCAGTGGTTGAACTAGGTATTGCACTCCTGCATCAAAACAAACACGAGCGCAGGTTGCCAGATTGAGGACAGGAGTGACTGATATTATCTGTGTCCTCAATAAAAGCAACGACACCCGACAGAAGGCAGATTTTCCATTGTAAAAGGAGTTTTTGTCCTGATCAACACCTCAAACTGATATATTAGAAACGGCTTCTATTCCTCACAGCTGAACAACAGAAAACTGACAATGATCAGCTCAGATACAGCTCATGTGCTGTATTCAGTGTTAAATGCTAATAATATGAGTCTGAATGCCATTTCACCTGACCATACTACTGAAAGCAGCAGCAGATAGTTCAGCTCAGATCTGGAACACACGGAAAGAACCTATATATTTACATAGGAAAATGGCCAATTTTATGAATAACATATTTTTATATAGGTTCTTTCCATGTGGGGGAGAATAAAATAAAGAACTAAACACATATCAGGGATTTAGCATGTGCATTTAATCATGTTAAAGAGGGTTAATATGTATTAAACAGATTAGAAAGCTTAGCATTGTGCTGGAGTGCAGTGAGGGCACTGTTCTGTGCTTCTGAATGGCTGTGTTTACATTTCTGTCGTGTTTTGTCTGGTACAAATAGCCAAACTGCTCATCACTGTGTATCTCGCCATATTGCATGTTGTTAAGACACGGTGTTACAATGTGACCTGCTCACCGAATGTTTACACATAATATTTATATTATTTGCTTATTAATAACCTCATGTGGAACTCTGAATCTGCATCTCATTTCGGAGTCTGTTGTCCAGCGGAGGTCGCATTTCGGTCACGGACGCATACTTTAAGAGCCTTTCTGAATGAATAAATGAATGAATGAAATATGCTGTTTTCCACCATCTGGCAACCCGGGCTGCTGAAATATAATTAAACTGGCATTGGGCGAGTTAAAGAGACCAAAACAAAGACAGCCATTCTGAAAGGTAACTTCACAGCTGAATGTCTGAATTCAGTTTTTTTGTTTCAGATTAACAGGAATGTTGTGAAATAACATGTTTCTGAGCATGTTTCTGAAATATCTGCACACATATTATGATGCTTTTACACTTTAGAAGAGTCAAAAGCTCACATACAGCACCTTAAATTAATGCTATACTAACTTTACTTTCAACTTTTTAACTATACTAACTATAATAACTTCACCAATTACTTAAAAATAAATATTATTATTAAATAAGTCACGTACATAACTTATATATCTCACTTCCCCCAGCTCTGCTAATCCCCTGACGTGTCTCTGAAGCTGATGTTTGTGTGTGTTTCTCAGAGTGGATCAGTGAAGGCCATCAGCAGCATTAACATCGGCTCTGAAACATCCACAAACTCTTCTTCGTCCTCCAGTGTCGGTGTTGGTGTTGGCGTCGGTGTTGGTGTTGGTGCTAGCGCCACTACATCAGCTGGAGTGAACAGCAGCACTACGATCACAGTGTCTGCGAGTCCCAGCAGCACCACGGTCTTTTCCAGCAGATCATCGCTCACTAGCGTCCCCTACAGGACCACAGAGAAACCCAATCCAGGCCCTGGCCCCGCCTCACCACCTGTCCCCTCCCTACCGGGCCCCTTCCCCACAGGATCCTCCCCCAGCTCCACCTCCAGGCCTCCTCACGGCTCCGCCTCCACCATCCATCTGCACCTCCACCTGTCAATCACTGCTCTGCTCCTTACAATGCTCACTGTTTAATCAATAATCAATCACTTCAGCCAATATTTGTCCTATAATTAACCTCTGTTTAACTATAATCAGAGCTGGGGGGATTACTGACGACCTGTAATCAGTTACTAATCACATGATCACTTTTGTAGTCAGTAATATGAACTCTTAGATCACACATTCATAATTAGACTATTTTTGGATTACTTTTATATATTATTGGTTGTGTCATTTGACTACTTTTAGATTACATTTAAATTACTTTCCTTGCACAATTAAGATAATGCAATATGACTACTTTTGATTTAAATTTAGATTACATTTATGGCACAGCTATGGTAACACAATCAGACTACTTATAGATTACATTTAGATTACATTTGTTACACATAAATGGAAATGTAATCTGACTACCTATGAATTACTTTTAGATTACTTTTATTGCACAATTATAAATATGTATAATGACAAATCTTGAACTATATTTAGATTACTTTCATTAATGACAACATAATCTGACTGCTTTTGGATTACATTTAAATTACTTTTACTAGACATTAATAGTAATGTATTATGATTGCTTTTAGATAACATTAGATGACTTTATCACACATTAATGTAGCATAATCTGACTACTTTTGGATTACATTTTGATAACATTTATTACACATTTATAAGTATGTAACATGAGAAAATGTTTATTGTATTTTGATTACTTTATTACACATTAATTGTAATATACTCTTACTACTTTTGGATTACATTTAGGCTACTTTTATTAGCCATTAATAGTACCGTAATATGACTACTTTTGGATTACATTTAGGTTACTTTTATTCCACATTAACACTAATGTTAAATGGTTACTTTTGGATTACATTTAGATTACTTATTACACATTTATGATAATGCAATCTATCACTTTACATTTAGATTACTTTTATTACACATTTATAGATATGTAATATGACAAATCTTGTACTCTTTTTTTTTGTAATTTTGTACTTTGTTTAGATTACTTTACCACTCATTAATGGCAACATTATCTAACTGCTTTTGGATTACATTTGGATTACTTTTATTAGACATTAATAGTAACGTAATATGACTACTTTTGGATTACATTTAGATTACTTTTATTACACATTAATAGTAACATAATCGTACTACTTTTGGATTACATTTAGATTACTTTTATTACACATTATTAACAACGTAATATGATCACTTTTGGATTACATTTAGATTACTTTTATTACACATTAATAGTAACTTAACATAACTACTTTTGGATTATATTTGGATTACATTTATTACACATTATTAACAACGTAATATGATTACTTTTGGATTACATTTAGATTACTTTTATTACACATTATTAGTAATGTAATATGAATACTTTTGGATTACGTTTAGATGACTTTTATTACACATTAATGGTAATGTAATACGACTACTTGGAGTCATGTTTTTAAAGTAAATACATTTAGAAAACGGCAACAATACAAGAAAATAATCAACAATATGTTATTATGTATAAATACATAGGAAAAAAAGAAAAAAAATGAGCAGAAGCAATGAATTATGAACAAGTTGTTGCCCTTGTGTAAATAATATGTGATAATGTAATCCATTAAAGTAACTGTAGTCTGATTACAGTATTAAAACAGAAGTTTCCTCTAATTACAAGTACTTAATATTTGTAATCTGATTAGATTATCCAGATTATATTACTCAGCTCACAGTATAAAACAGATTTTTCACATAAAAACACTGAAAGGAAAGCAGAAAGAAATGCCATTGACTATCATAGTAATTTTGTTCTTCTTTGTAAGTACCATGGCTGCCTTCCCCCCTAAGCATTCTTCTGATTATCTTGTTTTCTGTTCAACAACAAAAAAACAAACAAAACAAAACAAAAAATGAAAAGTGTACAACCACTTAACTAAGAGTAAAGGATGTGGATTTTAGATTTTTGGGTTCTTCTTATGTGTTTAATGAGTACATTGATTTAGTAAATTGATCAAGTAATATGTTAGTAAATTGATTTAATATGTTTACTTTTTTCAGATTAGTAGTATCCTGAAACTGGCAATTCATAAACTTTAGATTTATCTGGATTTTCTGTGTATTTCTAAAGCAATCTCACGTTACAAAGCACTGTAAAACAGAAGACATGCAGCACATTTTAATGTCCGTATTTTTCGCTTAAAGCAAAATGCAAATCTCTAGCGGTATCTTATGTTACGTGCAGGAAACAAACTTCATTTTCATGCTGTATTTTCTGAACATGCCGTCACGGTCTCTGTCAAAACCACAAAAACTGCACATAATCCAGCAACATTACAGTGTAGTTTGCTTTCATCTCGTTTTTTTTTTTTTTGATGTAATGTTGAATTATTTGCACACACCTGAGTTTGCTTTCCTCCAGGTTTAATGTGAGTTGATCATAATATCTGAACGTTCCTGTAATATTTCCGCCTGCTGCTTCACACTCACTGATTTCTATGAGGAAGACAGATCTCTGTCTGCCATTGTTAGTAATATACACATATGCTGGCGTTAACACACACAATGCTACATGTGTACTGCATGACTTTGAAATAAAATATCTGAATTTTGGTGTTGATAATTTTTTTTCTGAAGCTTTTTGCTGTCAAATGTGTGAAATCTAGTGGTTTAAAGAACACTGGCCAATAATTTTAAAGTTTTCAGATGACAATTAATGAGTATACAGTCAGTAAACTACATGTTTTTAGTGATAAATGGTTCGTTTTAGTAGTTAGTGAAACCAGCAGTTTTTATTATTTATTTAGGTGTTCTTTAAGAGCTTTAGGACTATTTTGATTAAAGGTTTTAATTCACTTCTAATGTTGACTGTATATACTGTCCAACAACTTAGTTAACCCTTTAAATGTCACAGAATAACTAGTAAGATATTATGCTTTCATCAGTTATTAAAACTATTGTCTAAATATGTGTTTAAAACCTCTCTGTTATGAAAGAATCACAATTAAAACAATAATAATTTGAGTGGAGGAGCTGATCATCTAGTCATGACCTGTTATATATGCAGAATAATAATATGCTGGCAGCTGATTGGCTGTTGCTGTGAGTATAAAAGCTTCCTGATGAATGTGTTTCTGCCAGAGCGTCTGAACACAGATCTCAGATCAGCACAAACAGCAGCTCACCATCATCATCTTTATCATCATCACATCATGATGAAGATTCTGGCTCTCGCTCTGCTGGTGGCGACTCTTCAGACTCTAGCGAATGCTCAGGTAATTCACTAATATTAATTTAAATGATAAATTACTTGACGATAATTTAAACGTATAAAACTGCACATCCCTGCATCATCAAAGTACTGAAAATGAAGAGTGCAGTCCTGCTTGTGTTTTGAAATGTAACTGTTTATTATTTATGTGCTATGTTCTATGATCTGAAACATTATTAGGCTAATTTTATAAATCTTTTATTCCTCTCTGTTAATCTGCTTTTCCTAATCTACATCATAAAAGCACCATAGAGATAAGGATGAATTGAGCTGTTGATCTGATAAAGTCTGAACAATTGTCACGTTTAGTTGTTACATATTTTCTCCTTACCAAGCGCATATAAAAACACTAGAAATAAAGTTTATACAGCACTGTATGCTAAACAACAATGCTGTGTTGCTGTAACACAATGTCAAGTCAAATATACTTAATGTTTAAATGTAAATGACACAACTCAACAGTTGGATTGGTCCACATTTGATGATGCAACATTGAATTACAACAACCCATTTCAGCTACACTGTAAAAAAACAAGAAACTGCTCCATATTTAGTGTGTTTTGTCTTCAGGTGCGGTTGCGAATTGCATTATGTTGATCTGTTGTCCACTTCTGATGTTGAAAATTCAACTCTACGGTTTAACAAAGTGACTTTTAGTGTCAGTGTAAGGATTTTATGCATAGATGCGGATATAAAAACAATATTAATGCAGAACCACATTTGATATTTAAATGATGATTTGAATATTCGTCAGATCAGAAAAACAGGAAGTAGAAACAGTCACCAGTGTTTTTGTCTAACACACTGTCCATACTGTCTTCTTGTTGCATAAATAAAGACACAACCCCCCTCAAGCACATCTACTACATCAGTTTCTCCAGCTTCGACAGTTTCTACAGCTACTACAACTAGAGCTACTATATCGATCAGCAATTCCACATACAACTCCACCAATGGTCTTTCGGTCCTGATGGCTCCGATCCACCTGCTGGTGCTTCCAGTCTCCGTGTTTCTCTGGTGGCCCTGAGAAAACCTGCAGATTCGGCTCCTCTTCTCTTTCTAATGCTGTTTTTTCATGAAGGGTTAACTACTGGAATTAATATTAGACATGAATACTGTAAACTATAAGAAATTAAAGCCATTTTCATAAAAAATTTGGACTGTGACTGATTCTCAAATGTTAATCTGAAACATTTATTCTGTGTGTTTACAAGCTGATTATACTGCATTCATTTGTTATTTACTGTAATTACTGTATGACTGAATAAACAAGCATGTAGTGTTAATAACGGAACTCTCTGTACTTGTACTGGTGTTAGAGTAAATGAGTTTTGCTTAGTGACTGATACAGCTGAGAATATATCAGACAATATATCAATATATCAGTTATATCAGTATAAAGGATGATCATACATTAGACATCTCCCAATCAAAGTAAAGCACAACACCTCAGAAACCACTCACAATACCCTAACAACCAGCTAGCAATACCTTAGCAACCACTCACAACATCTTAGCAACTGCTTCATAGCAACATTTAAGCAACACTTTAGCAACCAGTCAGAACGCCCTTGCAACTGCCCCACAATGCCTTAGCAACCACCCAGAATACCAAAACTATCATTTAGAACACCATAGGAAAGGAACCACTCTGATCAACCACATAGCAACCACTCACAACACCCTCGCAATCACTCATAGCAAACTAGCAACTGTCTTAGCAACCACAGAGAACACCAATGCCATGACTCAGAACACCCTATGAGCCCTAAGCACTCCATAAACCCAAGCAACCACTCAGAGCACCCTAGCAACTGCCTTGCAATGCCTTAGCAACCACCCAGAACACCAGCGAAACCACTTAGAACACACTTAGAACCACACAAAACAGCAAACACTCAACATCCCCAAGCAACCACCTGGCAAAGTCTTAGTAACGACCTAGCAACCACTCAAAGCACCCCAGAAACTTTCTTGCAACACCATGGCAACCACCCAGAACACCAAACACTGTGTGAGGGCCGTAGCCAGTGGGCATTTGGTCCAGAATTTGGCTCCTCATTTGTCCCATTTTTGACGGTATGTCATCATTTATTGTAAAAATAACTGATAGAAGAAGGCTTTAAGAGAAACAGAATTTCAATAAATCAATATAGTATAAATAACAAATAAATAATATGATAAAAATTATAGATAATAGAGCATGCTGAGCACTTCAACAAAATTGTAGGAAATATTTCTGTTGCATAAAAAAGTGTGATTATGATCACCATCCAACAAGCAGATCCAGCAAAGATCAGTGCTTAAAGTGTCACTAAAGTAACCCCGCCGGTCCGACGCCACACAACCGACTCCGAGCTGGGATCTAACCGGAGACCTTCCACATGGGAGTCAGTTGCTCTAACAAGGAGGCTAAAGACCATGACCTCTAGTGTCTGTCGCTAGAGCACCTTTAGAGGTCAGAGGAGTGAGATTTACCTGCACAGCACTACACTAGCTGGCCTCCGTTACACTAACATGCAGTATTTCAACCTCATCATTTGATAGAAATTGAGGAGAATAATGCAAAAATACCCGCCTTTTTGAGAAAAAAGAACCACACTTTTCCATAGGCTGGCTACAGGCCTGAGTGTGTGTGTACTTCAGTGTGTTTCTGTGTGCGTTTCAGTGTGTCTATAGTGGAATAGATGTGAAAACAACACAAACCACAAATGCTGTGCTTTACTGTAAACAAAAGGCTGGTCCGACAGTAAAATGAAAGTGAAATACACTGGTCAGCTATGCACGTGTGTGACGCATCCACCAGAGGAAATCAGGGTTGTTCATCTCTCATGTCTTATTTAATTCTGTGCATGTTTACACTGCACAACAAGCTTTTGTTTCTTGGAGCTTTTGTCTTGTTTCTGGTCTAAATATAAAAACTTTCTGAAATGAAGAAGCATTTTCTAGATGAGTAATAAATATAGTGTTGTTTTCACAAATAATGTGTCAAAATTAAATGAGTTTTTCATTAAATCAAGCAAAATAATCTGACAATGGGGAAGCAGAATAAACATTGCTGCTTTATTGTTTAGTTTTTAAATAAGCGACGTTTACATTGTCTTTGGATTACGGAGTTGACTAAAATGTAATTATTGTCAAACACATGTATTCTGTGCACTACAGCTGATGTTTCATCCATATTTAAAATACAAAATGTCATTTACAGTATTTTTAATCACATCAAATATCAAAAGTGGCTTTTTCAGATGTTTTAAATGCTCAAATTTATTTTTAGAAAACACAATAACTTATTAAAATTAAGAATTCAATACATGGAGGAAGAGCGACACGGTGGCTCAGTGGCCTCACAGCAAGAAGGTCTCTGGTTTGAGTCTCGGCTGGGTCAGTTGGTGTTTCTGTGTGGAGTTTGCATGTTCTTCCCGTGTTGGCGTGGGTTTCCTCCGGGTGGTCCAGTTTCCCCCACAGTCCAAACACATGCGCTATAGGGGAACTGATCAACTAAACTGGCCGTAGTGTATGAGTGTGTGTGTGTGTGTGTGTGAGAATGAGTGTTTATGGGTGTTTCCCAGTACTGGGTTGCAGCTGGAAAGGCATTCCCTGTGTAAAACATATGCTGGAATAGTTGATGGTTAATTTTGCTGTGGTAGGCTCTGATGAATAAACGGACTTAGCTGAAGAAACTTGAATGAATGAATAAAATATATTATAATATTATTTAAGTATAAACTGCTGTGGTCAATATTATTACCCCCCATAACAAATCATTTTTCTTATTCAGAAAAAAACACTGTTGTCCTAATAACTTGTTTAATTAAGCCTTTAAATGTCACTAAGCTGAATAATGTCTTGCAAAATAATCAGTAAAATATTGTCCTCTTATCATGGCAAAGATAAAATAAATTAGTAATTAAAACTATTATGTCAAAATTGTGTTTAAAATAACCTCTCAGTTATAAAACATGTAAAAAATTGACAACAGTTGATCATCTAGTCATGAACTGTTCATTTATATGCAGAATAATAATATGCTGGCAGCTGATTGGCTGTTGCTGTGAGTATAAAAGCTTCCTGATGAATGTGTTTCTGCCAGAGTCTGAACACAGATCTCAGATCAGCACAAACAGCAGCTCATCCTCATCATCATCACCATCATCACATCATGATGAAGATTCTGGCTCTCGCTCTGCTGGTGGCGGCTCTTCAGACTCTAGCGGTTGATCCGGTAATTCACTAATATTGATTTGAATAATACATTTCTTTAACTATAATTTAAATATATAAACTGCATGATCAAAGTGCTGAAAATAAAGAGTAAATGTGTTTGAAATATATATTTATTATTTATTTAAATATTTGCTGTGTTCTATGATCTAAAACATTATTATGGCTGTTTATTATCTTTTCTTTGTCTGTGTTAATCTGCTTTTCACAATCTACATAATAAACGCTACATAGACATGAAGATGACTTGAACTGTTGATCTGATAAAGTCTGAAGAATTGGAGAATTTGGTTTTCACATATTTGTAACAGTCAGATATGGCCAATATTTATATGAAATGTGAATGACACAACTCAACAGCTGGATTTGTCCACATTTGATGAATGATAACAGTCCAGCACTTTCACTGAGACGAACATCTGTTCATGAGCAGTTTCTGTATTTACTGTGTTTTGGGTTTATGTGCGGTGGTGAACTGCATTATGGGATGTTGATCTCTGCTCTACTTCTGATGTTGAAAATTCAACTCCACAGTTTAACACGGTTACTTTTAGTAAGAGTGTAAGGATTTCATGCATAGATGCGAAACTAAAAACTGTGTTAATGCAGAACCTGATTTGATATTCAAATGATGATTTGAATATTCGTCAGATCAGAAGAACAGGAAGTAGAAACGCTGTCACTAGTGGTTTTGTCTAACACACTGTCCTTACTTACTTCTTGTTGCATAAATAAAGCAAACCCCAGCACCTACAGGTACTAGAGTCACAACAGTTCCTACATCTACTACAGCTGCTATATTGACCAGCAAATCCACACACAGCTCCAGCATTGGACTGTCAGTCCTGATGGCTCCGTTCCTGCTTTCGGTCTCCATGTTTCCGTGGTGGCCCTGTATATAATGTAAGGTTAACCGCTGGAATTATTATTAAGACATTAATGCTGTAAATTATAAGAAATAAAAGATATTTTCATACAAATCTGCACAGTGACTGACATCTATCCTCAAATGCTTTTTTTATAATTATTTTTTCAGGGTTTTCATCTTTATTGGATAGCACAGAGAGTATTCACAGGAGAGCAGAGAGAGGGGAAGGATCGGCATAGGGCAATGCGGTGGAATTGAACTCGAGTTGCCGTGAGCACCAGAGTGCATGTGTCGACGCACTTACCACTACACCACTGGCACTGACTGATTCTGAAATGTTAATCTGAAAACATTGATTATTTACTCCCCTGTGCTTTACAATCTGATTCATATGTTATGTACTGTAACTACTGTATATGCATGAATATACAAGCACCATCATGATAGTTAATGATTAACTGCTGGAATTAATATTAGACATTACAGTTGTTCTCAGTGGCTTTGGTTCATTTCTCACAACACTATTTACACAACAGTTCATGCATTTCTCCACACAGTTAGTCATCTGTGCACATCACAGCAGCAGTTTCTCATTCCTTCCAACACATTGCGAATGCTTTTGTAAATGCATCATCTGATTTCAGACAACTCTCTGCTGTTTATCACATCATCATCTGCTCATGTCATGTCAGTCAAAATTAATTAAGCTTTAAATGCTGAATAGTCACTCCGTCAGTGTGTTGTACTCAGACACCTCTCTAAATGCTGTGATGTCTAACTTTACTGTAGTCTTCAGATGGCTGTGCTAATAGTATACAGTGCTGTCTTGATCATTTTCAGGACCAAAATATGACTTTATTTGCATTGGAAAAATGAACACAGTAAAGTGTCATAATGAAAACAGGACGAAGCCATCTGATTATCTCGTTCATAAGTACTGGTGTCAGGACTCTTCATCTTGATCACACTGACACTTTCATTGACATCAATACTTGCTCTTGAGGAATGAGCTCTCCATGTTGAGCAAGAGACACGCTTCTGCAGGTTATCAGCTGGGTTTTGCAGTTTGTACTAATAGTTTAGAGAAATGCATGAATGTAAATAGTGATGTGAGAAATGCACCAAAGCCACTGAGAACAACTGTAAAACTACTGTTAATGATAAAAATAAAAGGCATTTTCATACAAATCTGGACTTGATGCGGATTCTCAAATAATAATCTGAAAATCTGAATTATTTACTTCTGTGTGTTCACAAGCTGATCATAGAGGATTCACACATTATGTACTGTTTCTATAAGATTGAATAAACTAGCATGAGGAGGATTTATGAAGAAACTCTACTGGTGTTAGAGTAAATGAGCTTTGCTTAGTGACTGATACAGCTGAGAATATATCAGTTCCCCATTAAAGATGGATTGAAATCTGTTAATGTTTCAATAAAGCACAATATTTCTCTGTTTTCTGTTGCTGTTGTTGTTCTGAAGATTTTACTTTGATTTATTGCACAGCGCTCTGTGCCTGATTCTGTTAGTCAATCATAACATTCTACACCTGAATAAACTAATAACACAGAATCATCAGGGTATAAAATCACACAGATGGATGGATGGATGGATGGGTGGATGGGTGGATGGGTGGATGGGTGGATGGATGGATAGATGGATGAATGAATGGATGGATGGGTGGATGGATGGATGGATGAATGAATGGATGGATGGGTGGATGAATGGATGGATGAATGAATGGATGGATGGGTGAATGAATGGATGGATAGATAGATAGATAGATAGATAGATAGATAGATAGATAGATAGATAGATAGATAGATAGATAGATGGATGGATGGACGGACGGACGGACAGACGGACAGACAGACAGACAGACAGACAGACAGACAGACAGACAGACAGACAGACAGATATATAGATAGATAGATAGACAGATAGATAGATAGATAGATAGATAGATAGATAGATAGACAGACAGACAGACAGACAGACAGACAGACAGACAGACAGACAGACAGACAGACAGACAGACAGACAGACAGACAGATAGATAGATAGATAGATAGATAGATAGATAGATAGATAGATAGATAGATAGATAGACCTAGCAACCCCTCAAAGCACCCCACCAACTTTCTTGCCACACCTTGGCAACCACCCAGAACACCAAACACTTAAAACACATTAGGAACAATTTAAAACACCCTAGAAACCAGCCAGCAACACCTTAGCAACCACCCATTACACCCTAGCAACACCTTAGCAACCATCTAACCACTCACAACACCGTAGCAACCACTCAGAGCACCGTAATGCTGGGTTCATATACCAAGAATGAAGTATGATTACAGCATTAATATATCTGAATTGAGTGGAAATGCGTGGAAGTGTCTCAATCACATCTTCTGGGAGAGTTTAATCCGTCGGACTCCAGCTAAAAATGAAAGCGAGTGATGTGGTGCTGCACATTTAGTGTGAAAGCAGCATCAGGAGTAACTACATGTACTAAACTGAGAGAAAGATTATTACAGTGTCTTTTTCAATGGCTATAACAAGCGATTACCCACAGTTCAGATTCTTTATCTAAACTCCTAACACAGACTCACACTTGCAAAACACAACTGGCCAAATGGATCATTCTCTTCTTAAAAATGCATTCTGTTAAATATACTCTAACTCTATTTCAGAACAGAGCACATGTTTCTCTGCACACACTAACTTTATTAAAACACTGGAAATCTGACTCAGAATGACATGATTCTGTCAAGAATAATACTTGCTTTCACAAGTTAAAGCAGTCAGTCAAAGTACTGCAGGTTTCAGAAGACTGGCTACTGTTGACACTACAGGAACTGCACGCTTTAATGCTTCAGTTTTACAGGGATCTGCATGCTGTTCACTGTTTTGACACTAGATGTCGTGGTTGGGATCTGTATGTCCACACGTGCAGTAATGCTCACATTCAAAAGCATTCCAGACATTTAAATAATGCAACAAAAGCTAGTTTTACCTTCAAACAACACAACTTGCAAATAGGTATATGAGCTCTTTCAATTAATCATTACACAACAGACAACAAAACACAAAATACAGAGCTCAGTGTGAATCAGTTGCTTGCCATTGTAGTTTATTGCCAATGCCGTTTGTTGTCTTTCTATTTGGGCTGTCAAATTAGCCTTTTTGCAAAGAATAGGATCCAGAATAAGAAATGCTTTGATTAAATATATATTGAATTCAGGACACTTTTCAAACTGTGGCTGAAAACTGAAATACTGTTAAAAAACAGAGAAAAGTAATAAAATACTGTAAATATTAAAGAAAACACATGTAAACCAGTATACAGTCAAATCTATTGAAGGACACAGCCACTATTGACCTCCTCCATCCATGCTGGCACAGAACAACACAGACCTGCCACCGTCTTTAATGTTTGCAGAATGATTGCTAATTGAAGATTTGTGTGAAGCAGTGTCAAACCGCTGCTTCAGTGAATTCATACTGAACTTAGTAGTTTCTAATGGTTAGGAATAGATGGTTTCTGTTTGGTTACTATAGCTAAAACAATGGAGTTTGGGCTGCTTGAATGGCATCTGTGTTAACTGTTTTGAAAAGTGGTGGGGAAAATGTGTCAACCCAATGAGAAAGGCTGCACACATTTGCAAGACCAGTGTAGGGTTTTCATTTCTATCCGTCATCTCTATGTGCAATATGTTGTTGTCATCCATCCATGAAAGAATAATCCAGATTTAACTTCTTAATATTATTTATTTGTTCGCTTTCATTAGAACACACTGGTAAAACATCAGTGCCTCAAGGAGGAAGGAAATCACATAAAAGTACTCGGAAGTCAAAATAAAAGTCCTGTTTGTTTACACTTGCGCACAATGAACTCTTGCGCATTTTTGGCATACAGCAGTAAGTAGTATAATCTAAGAAATAAATAAACAAAATACATAACAAAACATAAATTTATAGGATTAATGAGAACATAAAACTCAACAACCGGTCTTCTGCTCTGCTGGGATAGTGATCATGAAAATGAAGTGGGAACTAGTTTCTTTAACCAGGTCAAAGCAAACAAGAAAAACTGCAACAGGAGGTACAATAGAAACACATGATAGAACAGTAAGAGTTTCACAGTGTTGTTTACAGGGGGACCACATTCTACAGGGAATCCATGAGCGCAAGCTGACCTGCTGCATCACTGTCTGGTATAGGAACTGCAGTGCTGCTGACCGCAAGACCCTCCAGTGCACAGTGAACACAGCCGAAAAGTGTGCACAGTATGATAATATTTGTTTTTCTGGAGAAAGTCTTATTTGTTTTATTTTGGCTAGAATAAAAGCAGTTCTTAATTTTTTAAACACCATTTTAAGATCAATATTATTAGCTTGTTCAAGCTATATTTTTCTCAATAGTCTACAGAACAAACCTTCGCTATACAATAATTTGTCTAATTACCCTAACCTGCCTAGTTACCCTAATTACCCTAGTGAAGCCTTTAAATGTCACTTTAAGCTGAATACTAGTGTCTATTCTAATATTATTTACAGTCATCATGGCAAAGAGAAAATAAATCATTAGACATTAATTATTAAACCTATTACAGTTAGTAATGTGTTGGAGAAATCTCTCCATTAAACAGAAATTGGGGAAAAATAAACAGGGGGCCAAAAAAATCTGACTTATACTCTATGTAGCATCACTGTCCTGGGAGACACAACATTTCGTTCCTCTGTATCTTCACACATTTAGCAAAATGACAATAAAGCTTGACATGACTATTTTAAACACAAACCGTCAGTGAACTAAACGTTTTTGCTGATAAATTGCTAGTTTTAGCGGTTAGTAGTGAAACCAGCAGCTCTAATGATCTTGTTTAGGTGTTCTTCAAGAGCTGTAGGACTATTTTGATGAAAGGTTTTAATTCACTTCAAATGTTGACTACTGTATATACTGTTCAATAACTTGCCTGATGAACCCAATAAGCGGAACACTAGTATCTTGCAAAATAAACAGTAAAATATTGTCCTCTTATCATAGCAAAGACTAAATAAAATGAGTAATTAAAACTATCATGTCTAAAAATGTGTTCAAAAACCGGTCTGTTGTGAAAGATTCAAAATAATAATAATAATTTGTGAGGAGGAGCTGATCATCTAGTCTTAAACTATTTATATGCAGAATAATAATATGCTGGCAGCTGATTGGCTGCTGTGGTGAGTATAAAAGCTTCCTGATGAATGTGTTTCTGCCAGAGTCTGAACACAGATCTCAGATCAGCACAAACAGCAGCTCATCATCATCATCATCATCATGATGAAGATTCTGGCTCTCGCTCTGCTGGTGTTGGCTCTGCAGACTCTATCATATGCACAGGTAATTCACTTATATTTTCATCCTAGCTTTAATATTGATTAAAATGATAAATTACTTAAATGATAGTTTAAATGTATGAAACTGTACATAACTATTGAAGTATAACTGTTTTTTATTGATTCGCTATGTGAACTGAAACATTATTATGGCTATTTATTATCATTTCTTCGTCTGTGTCTGTTGTGTTAATCTGCTTTTCACAATCTACATCATAAAAGCCCCATAGAAATGAAGATCTGTTGATCTGATAAAATCTGAGGAATTGTCACATATTTTCCCTATTAAACATATAAAACACTTGAAATAAAGTTTACAGCACTGTACACTCAAAAAAATAAATAAAATAAAATCAATGCTGGGTTACAGTAACAGAACTGTAACAAAGGATGTTATGCATATGCGGAACTAAAACAACATTATTGCAGAAGCTGATTTGATATTTAAACGATGATTTGAATATTCATCAGATCAGACAAACAGGAAGTAGAAAAGATGTCACCAGTGGTTTAACATACTGTCCATACTGTCTTCTTGTTTCATAACTAAAGCAAACCACAGTGTCTACAACTACTAGAGTCACAACAGTTCCTACAACTACTACTATATCAACCAGCAAACCCTCATACAACTCCACTAATGGCCCGCCGGTCCTGGAGGCTCTGATCCACCTGCTGGTTCTTCCGGTCTTTGTGTTTCTTTGGTGGCCCTGAGAAAACCTGCAGATTCTGCTCCTCTTCTCTTTCTAAAGCTGATTTTACATGAAGGGTTAACTGCTGGAATTAATATTAGACATGAATACTGTAAACTATAAGAAATAAAAGCCATTTTCATACAAATCTGGACTGTGTCTGATGCCGATTCTGAAATGTTAATCTGAAAACATTGATTATTTACTTCCCTTTGCTTAACTTTGTAACTACTGTATATGCATGAATACAAGAACTATAATGATAATTAATGAGATTAACTGCTGAAGATAATATTAGGCAAGGCAAGGCAAGTTTATTTATATAGCACATTTCATACACAATGGCAATTCAAAGTGCTTTACATAAACAAGAATAAAAGAAACAAGTAAAATAAAAATAAAAACAAATAATAAAAATGCATAAAAACAAAACAAAACATAAAAACAGGTAAAATGTGATATAAAAGAATGAAGAAGAAGAGAAAAACATGATAGTGCAATCTGTTGGACGCAGCACAGTGCTCATACAGTAAAGGCACAGCTAAACAGATGTGTTTTCAGTCTTGATTTGAATGTGCCTAATGTTTTAGACATTATTACTACTGTAAATGATTAAATAAAAGCCATTTTCATACAAATCTGGACTGTGCCTGACGCCAATTGTCAAATGTTAATCTGAAAAACAAGATTTATTTACTTTTGTGTGTTTACAAGCTGATCATATGGGTTTGTTGACTATAATTACTGTATTTAACTAAATAAAACACCACAAGTAGGATTTATAAGGGAACTCTCTGTACTTGTACTGGTGTTAGAGTAAATGAGCTTTGCTTAGTGACTGATACAGCTGAGAATATATCAGTTCCCCATTAAAGATGGATTGAAATCTGTTAATGTTTCAATAAAGCACAATATTTCTCTGTTTTCTGTTGTTATTTATGTTCTGAAGACTTTAATTTATTGCACAGCGCTCTGGAATACCTGATTCTGTTAGTCAATCATAACATTCTACACCTGAATAAACTAATAACACAGAATCATCAGGGTATAAAATCACACAGATGGACAGATAGATAGATGGATGGATGGATGGATGGATGGATGGATGGATGGATGGATGGATGGATGGATGGATGGATGGATGGATGGATGGATGGATGGATGGATGGATGGATGGATGGATGGATGGATGGATGGATAGATAGATAGATAGATAGATAGATAGATAGATAGATAGATAGATAGATAGATAAACAGACAGACAGATAAACTGCTCATTTCTCTGGATCTGAACATTCTTCAAATCATCTGTGGTAGTGTAAGTTCACACTCCAGTAAATTACAGGACTCTTCTAGCTGTTTGACAGTAAACAAGTCCACTATTAGTAAATCAGGAGGAACACAGAGAACAATTGTTGGACAGAATGGAGGAATCAACAAATGCTGATGATCTTGTGGACGACTGTAACTCTCTGTAGAAGAACTGGCCTTTAAAACAGGAACATACAGACGACACACTTCATTACAGATCCTGACACAAACACAGAAGCATGATCATACATTACACATCTCCCAATCACAGTAAAGGACAACACCTCAGAAACCACTCACAATACCCTAACAACCAGCTAGCAATACCTTAGCAACCACTCACAACATCTTAGCAACCACTAGAAACAAGTAAGCAACCACATTACAAATGCCTAGCAATACTTCAGCAATCACTAAAACTCCCTAGCACCTGCCTCACGATGTCTTGGCAACCATCCAGAATACCAAAACTGACATTTAGAACACCATAGGAAAAGAACCACTCAACATCCTAGCAATCACCCAACAACCACTCACAACACCTTAGCAACCCCCCATTATACCCTAGCAACTGCCTATCAATGTCTTAGCAACCATAGAACACCCTAAAAAACCCTCAAAACACTCCAGCAGCCTCTAAGCAAACACTTAACACCCTAACAACTAGATTGCAATGCCTTAGCAACCACCTCTCTGTTAAACAGAAGTTGGGGAAAAGATAAACAGGGGGCTGATAATTCAGATTATAACTGTATATACAAAATCTTCAGAATATTAAGTCAAGATCATGTTTTATGTTGTAAATTTATTTGTAAAAATAAATATATCAACACTATTTTTTAATAGTGATATGCACGGATAAGCACTTTGTTTAGAAACATTTACGGGTAATTTTTTCAATATTTTTTTTCACAGATTCTAAATTGTCAAAGTTTTATCTCTGCCCAATACTGTTCAATACTGAAACAGCTCATGTATTCAGCTTTGTTATGATGCATATGATGTTTTAATATCAATAATAATGAAATGTTCATCTATTGTGTGTTCAGGGTTATGTGTGTATTTTATTGAGTGTATTGATGGTGTGAGAGTTTGTTCCTATTTCAAGCGGCTTGATATTAATCTCACATCGAGAGGATAGAGTTCCCCTCCTCATCAAACAGCTGAACTGGATTATCAAGAAATGCAAAGTTTATTTCAGGATATCAGTGGAATTTTGCTCGTGATGCTTTCCCTATTACGTATATGAACAAATTCTGAACAGAAGCTGCATACAGTTCCTTTAATATTATAATAGACGCTGGCGCTGCATTGACGTATTAGAGCAATGGACAGAAGCAGATCATAAGGTGCCTTCCTTTTATAATGTCTATGTGCAAATGTATGGACACAAACACAGAGACAAACACACACACACACGTCAAACAGCAGCAGGTGGGAAGTGTGCCATTCACTGAATCCAGCAGGTTTTCAACTGTCCGCCATGTTCTGTCTGATATTATACACTGTTTGTGTCATAAAGTTGCTCAAGTGATGCATTGGTTTTTCATTTGCACAGTGACTCTGAACTGTCAAAACGAGGCTCAAAATGTTTTTTTAATGTGAAAAATGAAAACAAAATGTTCTCCGGTTTGAATTTGCTATGGCAGACGAAAGTTTCAGAGGCGGTGTGTCACACGATTCACACAACAGGAGGTCGAATTTATTTTTTAATGTGCGAAAATTAAAGACAAACATTTTGGCTTCAGTGTGCAGCAACTATATACACGTTTATACAATGCAATCCGACTACTTTAAGATTAGAGTTTGATCAACATGTATAGGGTAATGTAACATGACTATGTTTGGGTCACACTTAGATTACTTTTATCACATATTAATCAATTTGTTTACCCAAATTTTTCTAAATGGTTTCATGCATGCAGCCCTGTCAATAGTGTCTGATGTGAACATGTTTTGCATTTATTTTCTCCAGGGTTTTTTTTTTTTTCTCTAGAAAATTGTATTTGAATATGCAACTATAGTTTCGTATGTCATATCCATCCTTCAGTGTAAAATTTGCATAAAAGGAAAACATTTGACATTCTAACAGAAAACAACTGCTTTCACTACTGGCAAGCAAATTATTCCTAAACTATATTAGAGCCTGTTATCATATCAACCATATAATACTTTTGGGAGTGGGACCAGTGGGAGAACTTCATTTAACTGTGAGGATTTTGCTCTGCATCAGATTGTGTATCAGAGAAGTCTATTTTAAAGTAAAGACAGTTGTCACAGCCAGGCCAGGTTCTCCTCACTCCCAATTACTTGCATCAGCCAGCTCACAGTCACCCCAATCAGCACGATCTCCATCACCTGAGTACTCATCACTCCCGCACCTCACTTCAGCCCCATAAAACCCTGCTCTCCACATTACTCAGTGTCCGACCTCATCGTATTCAAGACGGACAAACTCAGTCAGTGAAACATTTAGCGAATACTTCTATTTACCTGCATGATCCTGTTTACCTCCAGTGTCTGCATCTCTCCTCCTTTCTAATGTGGCTCCCGTCCGATTGTGTGTTTCCCGATCTCCTCCGTGTCCATCTCCACCATCAGTCTCTGGTTCCAATCAATCCTGCTCCACTACGCATCTAGTCAAGATAAAGACTTTACCCGTTTGCCATATTACCTGTCATCATCTCTCTTTAGTCAACTGTTGTTCTTACTCACAGTTCTGGTCTCGGTCCCCCTTCTCTGACATCAGTTAAAGGGTTGAGTAATGTTTAGACTGGGGGATTATGAAAGCAAAACACATTAAACCAGAGCAATAACCTTTATTTAATAACTTATTAACACATTATTCCATAATTTGCCATGATTTATGCATCTACAAGGTATATGCCCACCAGCAACTAAAGTTGCAGACTGAAATTTTGACAAAGTATTAAAAAAACGACAGATCTCTTGAAGTATTTGTTTAGTTTGGATGAAACCTTCGTGATTTTGCTGATTTAAATTTGTGAACAAACAATACTTTTTGTAACATGAAGATTCTCTTTATTTTGGAGGGTTTGCCTCCATTTTGCATCATGGAATTGGGGGTAAGAAATTGAAAGCCTCCTGTGACAAAAAGAAAATCAATTCCTTTTTTCTTTTCTGAAATCTTTGATATGGTTGTTTGCTTGCATGTCATTAAGAAATTTAATATGGATAACATAGAAAATTACTTAGAAAAGGAAAATGGCAACTATGCATGCTGGAGGGCTTAAATGGGTTAATACATTCATTCCAGTTTCCTTCTGTCAAGGCCAGTAAACAGAAAAAACACAAGACAATGATTTATTGTAAAAGGCAAAATATATATATGTATATATATAAAATAAAAAAATCAGACAGATCAATTCATAAGCAAGAAAGGCAATGCCTCAGGGGGAAAAAGGACACAAAACTCAGTTTGATAAACAAAATGCTGCTCAGCAAGCGAAAGAACAAAAAACTATTTAGTCCAAAAACTGAAAACAAAAATGGCAAAAGGAAACACTAGCAGACTCTGCTGTTATAGCTGGCGGGAGGGAATGACTGGAAATAACCAGGAACAAAAAATAGACTGGCCAGTAGAAACAGAGGAGGTGTGTTGGTCAAAATAGGGACGCTATAGGCTATAGGGACTAGACAGAAAGGCTGGAAAGGTTGGGAGAGAGTCCTGGAGTCAAACAGAAAAAGGTTAACTAAAAACATTCAGTTCACCTTTAATTGATGTTGCAGGGTCAGAAGCAAACAACAGTCTGGCACAGAACCGCACAAAGAGAATAAATAGGGGAGCTGATGAGGAGAAAATGAGCAAAGACAGGT